GTACTCTGTTCATTTTATATACACTTGTTATTTATATGTCATATACACTAACTTATTGTATACACTAACTTATTTGGGAGAATTCCATTTAACTAGATCAGTGGTTCCAAAATGTGGTCACAAGTCAAGTAGAACCAATGTGAGCTGGCTAGTTGTTAGGAAGACTCTAGGATTTTACCTCAAAGACTCTGGAGGGAAAGAAATCTATCTTTTAATTAGTCTTCTAGTTCATTGTAGTCCATACTACAGGTTAAAACATGTGGAACTGGATGATTATGCCTGTCTTTTATTGTGCTCTTTTAGACTCCAGGAAGACTAGTCTCCACTTCCTTTGTTCTTTACTAATGTTTACTTGGTTAGGTATGGGGGAAACACTACTTGATAGGAGAGACAAAAATCCCTATTCTTCAACAGCTTCAAAAATCCCTTTCCTCTTCAACAGAGGAAAGATAACCATAACCAGTGTTGAGACTGGTATAATGTGGAGAATTAAACTAGAAGAGTGTGATAGAGTTGGTCTTTCTGGGGCCAAGTGTGAGCAAGATTTTGAGTGACAGAATGAACCACTATGTGAAAATCTCTGTGAAGGGTCCCAACACAAGGTTGAGCTCATGTGTCTAAGTGGCAGAAAAAAGGTCAGTGTACCAGGAGAGAGTGAGAGAGAGAGAGAGAGAGAGAGAGAGAGAGAGAGAGAGATCTGAAGTAAAGTTGGATAGGTAGAAAGAGACCAGATCATATAGGCTCCTGGGCTCCACCCCCCCTTTTTTCCTCATTTTAACTCTTAAAATTATGGCAAGATACATAAAACAAAATTTTTAGTTTTAACTATTTGAAGTGCTCAGTTCAGTGGCATTAGACACATCTGTATTGTTCTGCACCCTCCTGGCACTAGAACTTGAAGTTTGACTTTGAATATGTGGGATGCTTTGGAAAAGTTTTGCATGGAGGGCTGCCACAGTCTGAAATTTAGAATGAATGGACTCCTGCATGGTATAATCACATGGAGGAAAGAATGGAAGCAGGGAGACTGTCAGGAGAGGGATGCATTAACTGTACCATGAAGCTATACTATTCTGGATTTTTATTTATTTAATTTTTGGTATGTTTGTATGCTGGAGCAGAACACTGAGACATGGTACCACTGAGTTAAATGTTAAGTTCCCAACTCGTGGATACATTCTAATAGTGGAATCAACAGAGCTTGCTGACTGATTGGTAGTGACATATAAAGAAGTCAGAGACAGTAAGTTTTGTTGGTTTGAATAAGTTATAGAGTTCAGGAGGTACAAGTTAGGGAAATAAAACCATATGTTAAATTAAAATGTGTTTGAGATGCCTAAGTATAAGTGTTGAGTAGGCTTAAGAAATCTGGAATAAAAAAAAAAAGAAATCTGGAATTAGGAAAGAAGTCAGGTTGAAGATAGGATTTAGGGGCTTGCCAGCATTTGCTCAGTAATTAAAGCCACGAGACTAAATGACATCATCTAGGTAACGACTGTAGACAGCAGAGTCCTGACCAGCTTCTAGACCAGGTTTACGTGTGAGTGTAGCAAAGAATCACCAGTAAGAAAGGCAGAGAACCATCAGAGCAGTCTCCAGGAGGGAAAGGAAGAATGTATTTGAAGGAGCAAGGCAATTGATCAACTGTCTCAAAAACTGCTGTGAGGATAAGGCAAGCATTGAGAAGTGCACATTTTAATGCCTAGAAGCCATGCGGAGGTCTCTGGTGACAATGACAAGGTGTTGGAATGACGTGGTGGTTTTATGGTGCCTGCCTGAAGTGTGTTGCAGGAAGAAAGGAGGACCAGAAGCAATGAGAATAGCCAGTTAAGATATCCTTTCCTTAGAGCAGGCCTGTACAAATGTGCTGCAACACAGGCTAAGAGATGGCTTTATAACATTCAAAATTTGAATGTAATACTTTCACATGCTCATGCTCATCATTTTAATTTTAAGAACATCTAAAAACAAGTTGAAGAAGTAGAAATTAAGTAAAACAAACAAATGTGTGGGAGCTCTGAAGAGCATAAGGACCTAGGACTATGTAGCACACATCTTACTTTATTTTTAAGACTGGGTCTCTTTATGTAGCCCTGGCTGTCCTGGAACTCACTGTGTAAAACAAGCTTGCCTTGAACTTACAGAGATCTGCCTAATTAAAGGGGTGTACCACTACTTCCAGCTATGTGTAGAACACATTTTATTTTTTAAATTTTCAATGTTTAAAAAATTTTTTTCATTTATTACAATTTATTCACTTTGTATCCCAGCTGTAGCCCCCTCCCTTTTTCCCTCCCAATCCCTCCCTCCCTCTTCTCCTCCCATACTCCTCTCTCAGTCCAGTAATAAGGGAGGTCCTCTTCCCCTTCTGTCTGACCCTAACCTATTAGGTCTCATCAGGACTATCTGCATTGTCTTCCTCTGTGGCCTGGCAAGGCTGACTCCCCTCAGGGGGAGGTGATTAAAGAGCCGGCCACTAAGCCCCTGTTCCCCTTACTAGGGAGCCCATTTGGAGACTGAGTTGCCATGGGCTACATCTGTGCAGGGGTTCTAGGTTATTTCTATGAATGGTTCTTGGTTGGACTATCAGTCTCAGAAAAGACCCTGGGGCCCAGAGTTTTTGGTTCTGTTGCTCTCCTTGTGGAGCTCCTGTCCCCTCCAGGTCTTTCTATCTCCCCCTTCTTTCATAAGATTCCCTGTACTCTTTCCAAAGTTTGGTTATGAGTCTGCTTTAATACCCTGCTGGATAGTCTTTCAGAGGCCCTCTGTGGTAGGCCCCTGTCTTGTTCCTTGACCTAGATGTCCCTCAATTGAAGAATGAATAAAAAAAAAAAAAATGTGGTACATTTACACAGTGGAATACTACTCAGCAATTAAAAAAAAAAAAAAAAAAGAAATCATGAAATTTGCAGGCAAATGGTGGGAACTAGAAAAGATCATCCTGAGTGAGGTATCCCAGAAGCAGAATGACACACAGGGTATGTACTCACTTATATGTGGACATATAATATAGGATAATCATACTAAAATCTGTACAGCTAAAGAAGCTAAGCAAGAAGGAGGACCCTGGGTAAGATGCTCAATCCTCATTCAGAAAGGGAAATGGGGTAGAACACATTTTGAAACCTGTTTTAATCCACAGAAACAACATTCTGAGGTGAAATCCAGCCATTTGTAAAAGAAAGGTGTTTTTAGGTTTTTGAAGGAAATCTTCCTAATGGTTTTCATATTATACCATGTATTATTTGTGAAAGAAAAGTGCTGCCTTTGCCAAATGCTTTACCTTGAGGTTTCTGACTGGAAGAAATGTTTCCATGTGATATTTCACACAGATTTTGGTGCCAACTTTGAAGGTCATATTTTACCCTCTTGGTGGGAAAAAGAATGGAAGGTTTTTAAGCCCTTAAGACTTAAGTGTACTTTTTTTTTTTTGAGATGCTCTGATTTAGTGTCTTATTTTTCAGTAACTATATTTAACAAAGTATATTTAAATACCTGAATTTTATAGTCAATTCTTTTCACTCAAGGCACTTATTTAAAGCTAAAACTTGAGTTTTTCTACAGCAAAAAACTGATCTTTCACAAAGTATAAAACATTTTTCTTTCTATTGCTATGGAAATAGAGCAAGCATTACCTTATTTTCCTGACTCTTAAGATGATACTATTTATACGATGGGTAGTTATTTTATGTGTTACTAAGAAAAAAGTTGTTGCCATTTACAATGGCAAAATGCAGTGGGCTGAAGATGTGAAAGTATAAGGGACCAAAGATCATCATCTAGTCAATGAAACATGGAATTAGCGGATGAGAATTCCTGTGTTTCCAGTCAGGTAAGGGAGGAGGACAACTTCTTTAGACTGTCTTTCCTCAGGTCTCTCACTTGTGCAGTGAGAGTGACACCCCCACACTTTACAGTGCCACAGTAAGGATCAGATGAAATAAATGACATTTGGAAATATAGGCTTTCCTGGGAACATTCAAATTATTATTTTTGTGGTTGAAATTTAGGCCCTTAGATATTTTTAAATAACTCAGAAGGCCCTTATCTGAGCTTTGTTGTCAGGTTTAAATTATAATTTAATTAGGTATTTGAAAATATAATATCACCATCTGCTAATTATTTATTATTTGTCTATCTGTCTGTCTATCTGTCTATCTATCCATCTAACTATCTGACACAGGGCCTCTCTGTAGATCAAGCTGGCCTTAAATTTACAGAGATCCACCTGCCTCTGTCTCCTAGGTGCTGGGATTAAAGGTATGCATCACTGTGCCCAGCTTGCTAAATGATTTCTTATCCAATCTAGAAGTAGTTACCTTTTCATTATAGCAGAAAAGATAATATAACCACATATTTTCATAACTAAGAAGTAACAACTATAAACAATCTATTAGTGCTGTGATCTTTCATGAATTTATTATGAATGCTCCTGGTATTAAAAAGGTAAAGGAAGAAGGTAAAGGAATATGATAGTAAGCATTCATACTTATGGAATTGCCAGTGTAGGCAAATACTGTCTTAAATTTAGCTTCTCATGTTCACAGTATTCTAGTGAGGTGATTGCTTCTCTGTTTGGTATTCAAAAGCTGTAAGTAACAAGTCATTTTTGTCATTTGTATGTTTTATCTAGAAATGTAGCAGAGTGTGCTACTTAATACTGTTGGTGATTTGAGCTGAATTTCCTCAAAAATCCTACCTACAGCTTTGGAGATTGAGCTTTGGAAGTCAGACATGACACATGTCAAGTCATTAGTCATGGTTAACTTACTGTGTCCATATACTGTGTCCAGATCACTTCTGTATATTTTCTTAAACTTGCACAGTTATGGGGATAGCTGTTTTTATCTTGTACTCTGTGAAGGTTGTGGTCAGAAATTAAGTAGCATGCCCAAACTTTCACAGCTGTTCAATTGAGATCTACTTTAGACTGTGTCCCATGTGTTTTGTGTAATGCTGCCTCAATCTATGTTAGTAATCATGATTTGTTTCCTTTGTAGGCAAAACCCAGAGACTACATTTGAAGTGTATGTGGAAGTGGCCTATCCTAGGACAGGTGGCACTCTTTCAGGTACTGGCTCCATCTAATAATGATATGTTTGTCCATTGAATGCAATATCTGTATACAGGAGAAAACAGATGAATAATGTAATGTCTTTAAGTTCTTTTAAGTGCCTTTCCTTGTTTTTCATACTCAAATCATGGTAGGAAGAGGAGAATAAAGGCATAGTGAATACTTTGATTGGGATCCACTGCCTTAGTAGGGTTAAAGTATGGTTTTATTTATTTTTATTCTTACGTATTGGTTTGCTTCTGTCACGGATGCCTGAAAACTAACTTATTAGGTGTTGCTAATGAGCAAGGCTTGGAATTAGACTGTAGGACTCAAATTAATAGAAAGGGAGTTTTTCGTCACTAAACTGCTTGAAATAGACTCAATTTAGCAAAACTAAATAAAAGATAAAAGGTAAATAAAAGATAAAAGATTGCAGACTAGTTAGAGGAAACTCCCCCCAACCAAGTGTTTAGTCTGATTTCATAAGTGCCCTGAACAAAGGGTTCTCAGATGAGGTTAGGATACCTTGTACAACTGTATACACCACTTCTTTTCTTATTTGCGCTTTTTCAGGACAGGTTTTCTCTCTTTAGCCCTGGCTATTCTGGACCTTATTCTGTAGACTAGGCTAGCCTTAAACTCAGAGACCTGCCTGCCTCTGCCTCCAAAAGCTGGGATTAAAGGTGTATGGCACCACCAACCAGCTTGTGTATGTCTCTTCTTGACCTAAAATCTTTTTTGTTCAGTGAGAAAAATAACTGTGTGCCCTTTATTCTTGGTGCTTTTGCCAAATGTTAGGGGCTCTTGATCCTCAACAACCAAACATTTGAGTATATTATTTAGTGTTTAGAGAGAGTAAATTTACTTGAATTAGAAATTCAAAGTAGTAATTTATGCCCATATTATCTTTATGCCTTTGGTACTGTTTCCTATTGCCTAATTTTCATTTAGATTATTATAATTATATACATAGTGATTTGATTAAATGCCCTTTATTCTGTTACACGTATACTGTCAGCTGAGCATCTTATCAATACTTACAATGTAACCCTTAAAGACAGTTGAATGGCATCCTTCATAATACCTATGAGAAATTAGAATTTTTCTTGGTAAGTAAAGTAGCTTACTGAGGCCATGTAGCTACTGTGTGGGATAGCTAGGATTCTTGTTTCAATTCGACTTCACATTAGTAAGTTGCCTTCTTGAGGGCAGCACTTGTGTTGCATGCATCTCTCCATGTTACCTGTAGGGCTTTGCACAGCATCATAGTATTTGTTAAAATGAAGGAATGCCCCCGCCCCGATGTGAAGTAGATTACAGATTTATGGTTGTTTTGGAAATAGAAAGTTAAGGTTCATTTAAGCCATGTCTCTTACTGTGCAGGGAGATTACTGGACTTAGGAACAAGTAATCAGATGTGCATGCAGCCACTTCTCTGCGTGGGTGGACCTTTTTCAGTACACATTTGATGACAGCTGTGATCTTACAGATAAATTCAAGGATGAACATTTATTATTTCTGTAGTTACTTAATTTCCCCCTTAGTGTTCTGAAATTTTCTCCAATTTTTTGAAAGATGAACAAAAAATGAAAACTACAAAGTGAGATGGAAGAATAAGCAGCAAAGCCTTTATCCTGTCTGCTGTTATAGCTGTCTGAGGTACAGAGCCTAGCAAAGTTACAAAGGAGACCTATAGACCACATAGCAAAATGTTATTAAAAAAGATTATATAGTTGCTCATGGTGGTACATGCTTATAATCCTGGCACGTGGGAGGTGAACCCATTATTTTGAAAATATTTTGAAGTTACAAGAACAGTTTGCTGCATGTGCCCTCTTTTAGAGCCCATTATTACCATTGTGTTTCATTTACTTTGTCACTATATATGCAATCTTTTTTGCAGATGTGGCCTTTTACCCCTAAACATTTCAAGGGTGGATATTGTAAGAATAAGAACATTTTCTTTTTATAATCCTAGCCCAGTTGTTGAAATAAGAAAATTTAGCGCCGATGTAACATCAGTTGTCATATTTAAGTTGAATAAGTTGTCTCAAGAATGTTCTTTATGACATTTCCCATTTTGTTCCAGAATCTAAGGCAGGTTCATGGAACCCAATAGTTTAAAAAATTTTTTTATTTATTTATTACAATTTATTCACTTTGTATCCCAGCTGTAGCCTCCTCATCCCCTCCCAAACCTGCCCTCCCTCCCTCTTCTCCTCTCATGCCCCTTCTCCAGTCCACTTATAGGGGAGGTCCTCCTCCCCTTCCATCTGACCCTAGCCTATCAGGTCTCATCAGGACTGTCTTTCATAGTCTTCCTCTGTGTCCTGGTAAGGCTTCCCCCTTCACCTCAGAGGGAAGTGACCAAAGAGCCAGCCACTGAGTTCATGTCAGAGACACCCCCTGTTCCCATTGCTGGTGGGAATGTAAACTTGTACAACCACTTTGGAAATCAATCTGGCGCTTTCTCAGACAATTAGGAATAGTGCTACCTCATGATCCAGCTATACCACTCCTAGGCATATATCCAAAATATGCCCAAGTACACAACAAGGACATTTGCTCAACCAAGTTCATAGCAGCTTTATTCGTAATAGCCAGAATCTGGAAACTATATCTAATAGTTTCCTCAACTGAAATCCTCAGTTGAGGAATGGATACAGAAATTGTGGTATGTTTACACAATGGAATACTACTCAGCAATTAAAAACAAAGAAATCATGAAATTTGCAGGCAAATGGTGGGAACTAGAAAAGATCATCGTGAGTGAAGCCGAAAGACACACATGGTATATACTGACTTATAAGTGGATATTATACATATAATATAGGATAATCATACTAAAATCTGTACAGCTAAAGAAGCTAAGCAAGAAGGAGGACATTGGGTAAGATGCTCAATCCTCATTCAGAAAGGCAAATGGGATAGATATTGGAAGAGGGTGAAAACAAGGAACAAGACAGGAGCCTACCCACAGAGGGCCTCTGAAAGACTCTACCCGACAAGGTATCAAAGCAGATACTGAGACTCATAGCCGAACTTTGGGCAGAGTGCAGGGAATCTTATATAAGAAGGGGGAGATGAAAAACCTGGAGGGGACAGGAGCTCTACAAGGAGAGCAACAGAACCAAAAAATCTGGGCCCAGGGGTCTTTTCTGAGACTGATACTCCAACCAAGGACCATGCATAGTGATAACCTAGAACCCCTGCACAGCTGCACCATGGCAGCTCAGGAACCTAGTAGTTTTTATGTCTGCTTAGTTTCTTTCATTCTGGAATGGTTTTGTAGCTTTATTCTTCTTTTCTAATGGCATCTGTCAAAATGCAGGTCTTTTGTTTCATTCCTGTATTTACATTTGTTTGATTATACCTTCATGATTACACCCAAGTTGTGTGTTTGTGATTTCTGCCCTCAATGTATCTTATCAGAAAGCATATTTTAGCTATCCCATTATTTGTATAAAAATACATAAAACTTACAAGCAGGGATTAACAGGTAATATAACACAAATGACGACAAGACTGTTATTCAGGTTAAGAATGTTGCATGTATTTATGCCAAAACTAGTCTTGGCAACAAAGATCTCCATCCCCATCCTATGCTTAGGAGTTCCACATTGGACTTCCTTTTTCAATGCCTCTTTATGTGGGTCACAAAGTTGCTGGACATATAAAGCACAACGCTTGAACTTTTTCACCCTTAGGCTCTTTTGGGAGAATCCAGCATCTTAGGATTCTTTACCCTGATGGCCTAGAGCTTGTTTTCAGAGCCTGTATGAGTTTGTTCTGTAGGCCCTGTTCTCCTGAAGGTGAACTGTGCTGCCAGTGTATTCACCCCAGGGTCTTTAGGGTGTTCCTAAATAGAGAGTGAGGTATCAGACAGTTAAGAGGTAGGTATAGCTGAACTTGGGGCTGGGTAACTTCATGTTTGTGTGAAAGGTCCCTTGCATTGTGGGATGTGGAAGGGGCAGTGGGTAGTTAGCCAATAGCTATTATTCCTTCTACCAATACTTTTCTGCATCAAACTCTAAGCAGTGAAAAAATGCACACTGTGTGTGACTTTTTAGTTTTTCTAAAGGTATGTTTATCATTGTAGGAGGTAAAAATATATCTAATAGTTGTAGCTTGATTTTATAACTTTTTTTCCCTTTTTTAAAAATGGGTTTTAATGTATCCTAGGCTGGCCTCAAATTCACGGTGTAGCTGAGGATGATCTTGAACTCATAATTCTTCTGTATTAGGATTACAGAGATGCACTACCACACCCAGCTATCTGACTTAAGGACTGAAATATTTAGGTATAGGACTGTAGGTCTCCTTTTGTTTTGAAACCACTTTAGTTGTTAGTTGCTAGGTCTTTAAATGTTAGAGCCCCCTCACTTCATTTCTTTAGAGGTAACTACTATGCTTTTATGAGAGCCATTTCTTTATGTTCATAGTTTTATTACATGTGTATGAGTCCCTGAAAAAAAAATTTAGCTGTGCCTGCTTCTCAATTTTGTAGAACTAGAAAAGAATACAAAAAATTCTTTATGTAGTTTTTGCTCAGTTATGAAGGGCCTTTCATGTTGCATCTCAATGCAGTTATTTATTTTCATCATTGTGATATTCATAGACTTGTATTCCAGCTTTGTTATTGCTGCTGGGGATCAAATCTAGGGCCTTGAACATGGAAGGCAAGCATTCCTCCACTGTGCTCTTGCATCCATCCCTGTCCATTTTGTTGCTGATAGTAAAGTTGTGGTGTTGAAGCCCCATGCAAGTTTTGGTTATTGCAAGTGCTGCTGTGATTTTTTTCTTACACATGCATCCTAGTGGGTGTAGACATATATTCCATTGATTCCTGTGTCACACTAAACTTTCTGAAAATGGGTTGTGCTGTTCTTTTTTCTCACCTGCTATATTTGGTGATTCTACTGCTCTACAACTTTATTAGTACTTGGCATAGGTTAGATTTAATTTTCAGCAATCTTATGGAATATATATGTATATATACATATACATACATATAT